GCTTCAGCTTTAAAAACCCTCCCGGGACCACCCACCCCCTTGCCCCCAAATATTGTCAGAATGATCTGAGGAGAATCGATGGCAGAAGCACAGTTTCTTTAAGCGATCCGTTTATGTACTGAAAATAGTTACTGCTCCGCTTTTCCCCCGCCCTCTACTGATTTTGAGAGAAAATGAGCCGCTGGATACTCCCAGAAGCGCTAAGCATCGCCAATCCAGCCCCCGTCCCGCCCCGGGAGCCGGCCTCCCCCCGTCCCGTCCCGTCCCGCCCCGCTCCGGCGGCTCGGCTCTGCCCAGAGCCTTACCCCCGGTGAGCCCCAGGGAGTGGCACACAAACCTTGAGCCTCTCCTTTCCTGGCTCCAATCTGTAACTTCCCCGGACGATTAGTTTATCCTGTTGACAGGCCCCACTTTGTTGTTGTTGTTGTTGTTGTTAATTGACAGCTTCTGAGCGAGCTGATGTTTATTGTCCACACTGTCTAAAACTGAGCTTTGTTTCTAAATTAAGTTGTGCAGCTGGGGTATCTAGTACCTGGGACACGTTTCGTCTTTTTCTCCTAAGTTAAGAAGGTGCTTATTCTACTAAAGATCCAAAATGTCCCACGTAGAGAGCAGTGGACAGATCGATCAGATCGCCTGTTACCCTTCTCTTGGTGGAGTGGGACAGTTTGGGCTGCTGAGTTTTCTGACTGCTAAGATGGCTGTGGCCAACTTTTACCAGACAAGATTTTAGGAAATAAAATCTTTTAAGACCTGTTTTAGTACTGTATTGGTTTGTCCTGTAAGCCTTTTTATTCAATATTGTTGCTGCTGCTGTACGTTTAATGCTAATACTCAAACAGAAAAAAAAAAAAAAAAAAGGCATATTTAACATAGTTGTAAGTGTGGGGTTTTTTCTTTAATAATTAATGAAACATTTGTTTTGGAATCCAATTACAACATCATTAGCATGAATAACAAAGCTCCTGACCATCGCTGAAAGTTACATGGAGTTCAAGTCCTGCCTGCATATAAAATGTTGTGTTTTCCTGTCGCTTCCCTGAACTTTAGCTTGTACTCTTGTGGCTGTACACGCAGCTGTTCACTATAACGAGCATCAGTTACAGGAGACTATGCTTGTATTTCACATATTTCAGGTTAGAAAGAGCAGGCTGAGCCAGACATGGAAATCCATTGGAGGGCAGCATGCTTGATGTTTGGGGAATTGTTTTTTTGGCAGAGCTTTCAAAAAATGAATTGTTTCCCTTTTAAGAATAGGCTATAATCCATCAGCTTCTTGAAATTCAAATTTTCAGCTGAGAATTTAGATGAGAGGCTTCAAACAGCCCGGTGAAGCAACTGAAGGGCTTATCAGTAATCTGATCTTTGTTCTTTGGGGTGAAAATCTTGGACTACTTCAACACAGCTGTCAGTAAAATCCTGAAGCAAATCAGAATATCTTGTTTAGAGATTTTGGTAGATCCTTATTTAACTTTTAAACTTAATAAATAGGTTTTTGACATTAATGTGCGTCAAATTTGCAGTGGTCTTTGAAGTATTTTTGAACCATTTGTATTTTGAAGCCAGACAACAGCTTTAATTTCCCTTCCAGAACTACACTTTATCTACATAAGGTAATAGAACTGTTAAAATTGCCAAATCTGGGATGTTGTGAGCACATGAGTCAGTGTAATCTGTGCAGTCACTCATCATTCACAAACAGTTTGAGGGCATTCACCCAAAAATACATGCTACTGTAAAAATGTGGTTACTTACTCTATGAAGTCAGCATTCTGCAGTGAAATATCAGATTCTCCAAAAGATCGAAGTTAATCTGAAGCATCAGAAGGTGCAGAAGAATATAAATTACCAAATATTTACCTTTTTTGTATGAGTTGCCCTGTTTGCAGATATCTCCAAGGGTGAGACCTGAAGGATTTAGTTCTATGTGTGTTAAACACATTTTAAGACAGAAGAAAAATGTTTCTTTCTTCACCTATCTATCAAGACCTAAAAGCAGAATTCTGTAGAACATCTAGAACAGACAGACCCTCCAGAGCAGCTTGACTGGTGAAAACAAAGTACTCTTGCTAGCAATTACTGCTGCAGAGGAACATAGTAATTGAAGTGCCTTAATCTCCAAATTTGAAAACTTTCTTCATCTTTCAAAATGCGTTTGCTATTTTAGGACTCTACACCTGTTCCATTAAAAATTAGGGCAGGCTGATTGCTTTAGCAGGGGGCTTGAACTAGACGATCTCCAGAGTTTCCTTCCAACCCCTACCATTCTGTGGTGACTGTAATATCTTGCCTGTTGATTGTAGTTAGACAGGTTTACCTGATCTTAATAATATTCTTCTGATCTTAATAACATTCTTGTCGTGCTTTATGCAGAACTCTGTTTATATCAGAGGTATGAGGTCTCCTTTTACTTACTTTTTAGGTAAAGCGCCTTTCTAAGAAAGGATTTGCCCAGTGACGCCACAATGCAAAATACCATAAGCCTGCACCTTGAGAAATGCTCTGTCAGCAGAAGCATTAGAATATAGAGGATCTGTTAGTGCATTCTCTTATTTCAAGTGTTAAAACAATTTTATCACTCATTCAAGAACCTACTTTTATTTACTGTAACATCTATGTGTCAGATGATGACCTTGAGTATGCCTTTTTGACATTCAGTAAAGTCTTTGAGAAGTATCTGTGACTCTAAAAGCTTGGTTCAAACCGTATGGCAACTGTGCAATCTGATCAGAAGGGCAGACACCAGCCTGAGCAATTTATACCTCAAACCACCTCTTCTGCTGGCAAGGACAGTAGAAAGTGTTCATGGAACTACACTGTAAGAAAAACAAGTCTGGTTTTGGTCTGCTGCAATAAATTTTGCAAGGACTTCTAAACTGACTTGGCCAGGCAATACAGAATGCCACCTAAAAAACCTAACAGGGAGTAATAGAGGAGAAGGCTTCTGCTCTTCCAGAAGCAGTCAGTTGCCATTGCCAAGTGGGTAGGACTAGTTCTGGAGCTGTCACCCCTGACACGGCTGGTCGCACATCCCCTTCATTTCCAGGCTGTAATTGTGGCTGCCTATCCAGGGCCAAATTGCTCATACCTTTTTAATCAAAATCATTTACCTCTAGGTAAAAGTATTCTGGAGGTGTTTGCTCCCTATGAAGTCTAGGAAGCTGTACAAGAAAGGAACAAGGAAGCTCTCTAGCATAAATGGCAGCTTCGATATGGATTATTTTGTTGTCTTAGGTAAAAAAGTCTGTTTTCCACAGTTTCCAGGTACTGGACAGGTCTGAGGCATGTCAGATGATGATGAAAATTTGTGCCCTCTTAATGTGATTTGAGAGCACATGCTGCACCAGATGATATAAAATGGATGGAGCTAATGCTTCTTGATCTCTGGTGGTAAATCTGTGTTTCATTTTTCAAGAAATATAGTGAGGATAATCCTAATTTATCAGATAAAAATTAATCTTGTTGGTGTTTACCAAGACAGTTAATGTTGATACAACACTTGGTTATGAGACCTAACTAATATCAACTAGGTAAGAAAACTAACTAATAGTAACCTAATTGCTCTTTTGTGGCAGCTGTAACAAATTAAACTATTTGGTAAATATGTTCCTAACAAAAACAGGATAGCAAAAAATCCATGAAAATTAAAATACAATTTCAAGTGAAAAAACTTGGCAGTTATTGACATTTTGAAACAAACAAACAAGCTAAATAAAGCTAGATGTGATCTCGTAGCTGGGTTCTACCCCTCTGCACTGAAACTCTTCATAGTAATGATTTCTTCCTGACGTCTCTGAAATATCTCTTCCAGGTTCATATATTTCTTTAATCTCTTTTAGATTCATGGTTTTTCTTACATGACTTTTAGCTTTGTTGCAAACACTTTTCTCCTAATAGACATAGTCACAGACAGAAGGCAAGCCAGGGCTATCTCTTGGCATGCATTGTTTTCTGAATTTCTGACGATGTCCTTTAACTTGTGCTTCTTTCCCACTTGTGCACGTGCCTTTTCCTTGTACTATGTAATCTGAAAAAAAGCTTTGACAGCTAATAGTTCTTGAAAATCTCCTAAAAGTCATAATTCTCCACCTGTGTCTATCTTGCATCTTCAGCTGCCTCACCAGTATCTCTTTCTGGATGACTTTTCTTCTCATGTAACTTTAAAACAAATTCTTCATCTTCCTCTGTATCCTCTCTTTTTCATTAGTTTCTCTAGCATCTATGTTAACCAATGCTGCAACCTTAGCATATTTTCTAATTCTTTTGTTTCCTTTTTTCACTGCTTGCCTGTCTGCATCATTTTCCAATATGCTGCCAGTTTCATTTCCACATTTTCTCCAAAATCTGTATCTTTGAATTCCTGTTGTGAAAAGTCCTGTCAGGACTCAATATAGCTGTTGCACTGACTGCTATAATTCCTTGTAAAAGATCCCCATAGTCATCCCTTTGAAATTTATCCAGATTACTAACACCATTTTTTTCCAATTCCTGACTTCCGTTTAAGCCACACTAAGGTTTCCTATCCTGATATTCCAGGCCTTCTGAAGTTTGGAAATTTCCACATCCAGTTTCTTTCCTATGCTTTCATTGTTCTAACTCATAATAGTTTTAACTTACATTTGGATCTCACTTTCCTTCAGTCACCTCTGCTTCTTTTTCATATTTCTTCTCTTTAAATTCCTTCCTAAGAAACTAGCTAAAAGATCTAAATCCTCTACTTTCACCCTATAAGATCAGCTTGTATTCACTAAAAAGATCTACAGATAAGTAGTGTATCTGTCACCACTGTTGATGCTATCACTGTTCAGGTAATAAACAAGTAACATATTTTGTTATCAGTCATAAACCGATGTATTTGAACTAGGTCTCACCTAGACCATGCTTTTTAAAGACGGGTTGGACCAGATGATCCTTGAGGTCCCTTCTAACCCGGTATTCTATTCCATGATCTATTCTATGTGCTGCTTATTAATTCAATTGATATTTATCCTGATAATATTTGCCATAGTTATTTTATTTAATTTTCATGTAGATAAACAGTTTTATACATAGCTACAGAATTTCTGTTGTAATTCAGGCCTAATTATCATTAAAGCATTATCCTTATGTTTCACCTACAATGGAAGAAGTCCATGACATGCTGACATGGATATTCAGTATTGTATGGAAATAGGAAGTACACTCTCCCAAACACTACATCATCTACAAGTTGTGATACTCTTTATCTTTGTTATCTACATAATATGCAAGTAATGTAGATTATATTGTTGTGCACTATTATTTAACTACGTGGAATTAAAAAGTGAAAAACCGAGTGAAAAAGATTACAAACTGCAACATTAAGATGTATTTAGAAGAATTTTTCTGCTTTGGTACTAAATTATGATGCTGAAAATTATTACTACTTTTTATATTTTCAGATCTGTAGATGAAGAAAGAAAAATAGAGTACAAAGCTGCTGTCAAAATTCAGAGCTGGTTTCGCGGATGCAGAGTCCGAGCCTATCTGAGGTAGTATATTAAGCCTATTTTAATCTGTATTTCAATGTTGATTTTTTCCCCAAATTTCTCATGGTATTACTTGATTTTAATAAAATAGGAGCACTTGGAAAGAAGACACACTGTTATTCTGCTTTTAAATAGAATTAAATATATGCTGTGCCACTGTAAGAAATAATAATTAATGATTTTCAGAACTTCATACCATTAAAATGACATGATGCTAATAAGTAGCATGGAAATAATCCATCTGCAGAATACACACACAGTATTGTTTAAGAAATTTTGGCATGACTCTAAAAAAGATGTCTCTCAGTTATGCTGTTTGCTGAGACTTTTCTTATCTCTGTTATTGTGACGTTGGAGAAAAATTGCCTAGTGAGTGTGTGGTAACTGGACTTCTGTAGAAAATTAAGTTCTGCTGCTGGATTGGACCAAGTCATTTTAAAAAATCTTTATTTACATAATTTTCTTCATTTGTAAAACAGATCATGTACAAATACTCTGTTCTGTAAAATGCTGTATCGACATTGATACAAATTTTTTGGAAACACTATAGTTGGTCCCTTCTCCCAGGAGGCCCTACTCCTTTTTTTATGACCATAAGCCAAATTGGTCAAAGTCATATACTTGAATTTCTGTATCTTCACAAAAATTAAGGCTGTGAGAGAGAGGGATTGTTACATCTTCTAGTTTGACCTCTTGGCTGTCACAAGTCATTATGTATGATCCAGATATACTTATCAAGCCTAAAGAATTATGAAGTTAAATAACACTACTCACTTAATAACCAATATTTCCCTTGTAAAAAGATAGGCTACAGCCGTTATGTGCACTGGTTAAAAAAGGAGTTGCTAAACTTGCTGGTTCGAGTGTGTTGTCACAGGATGCAGTGATCACATGCAAGTGTTCAGCCGGCAAACAAACATGGTATTTCAGCCCTCGGAGCAATATCAGCTATGCCATTGATGTCAAAAGCTCCTACAAAGACAGAGGATCGGTTAATGCCCTTCTGATTCCAGCACATGGGTAACAACAGCGTGCTGCAGAAGAAAGTGAAAACCCAAGTGTCTTTGCCAATCTGTTCTCTAGGAAAGTGCTCTTCCATGCGCACATTTGTATTTACTAATGACCAGTGTAAGAAGAACAAAGTAATTATAACAAGTGTATAAGAAGGACTGAATCAGCTAAGTGTAGAAGATTTTCTTTACAACTGTGGACAGTGATCCTGCTCAGTTTCCTCTTTCCAAAGATGGATGTGGTGTCTCACTTAGGAGCACAGGCTCAACATAGCCAGTTGTCAGTGCTCGAATTACCCTCTCATTTAGGTCCTTTGAACTACCTGCTGGAACAGATTGCCTCCACTGAGTGACTCTAGCTGTACTGCAAGGCTTCTAAATTTGATCTCCACAGTTATGTGGTATGAATGCTTCCCTATATAACTTTTTCTAGGCAGTCCAAAAGTAATGATTGCATTATTTTTTGCAAAATTTATGTGAGACATCCATTATGGAACTTTTAGTAGCACAATAAAATATATACAATAAGGACAGAGTAGAAATTTACTTACAATTAAGCTGGGCGTAATTTAATAAAGATGAAAAAGTAGACTAAAAATTCCAGGTATCTGTGTGTTTTGTCAAATATTTACAAATTTTAAAGCTGTGAAAATGTTGCATGTGACTGAAAAAATTCTGGACTGGTCAGAGATGTTGGTTAAAATAATTAATGAAAAAACAGTCATCTATCATGCAAATTACATTTGTAAAGTTATTTCATTAAACTTTGGCAACGATAAGTGAAATAGCATATAGGTAAGCTCACAGTAACCCATTTTTTTCAATATGAAAGTGTGTGTTTATATATAAATATATGTATATATTGCTTTATACGTGTGTGTGTATGCATAGTATATATGCATACATGTATATGTATAAGGTATATTTACAGTGTCCATCTGTTTGTAATAAATATGGATATAATACACTATACATTATTTTTAATATTAGAAAAAATAAAGTTATAGTGCAAAGTCTCAAAATAATCATTATTTTGTTAATATATTTCATTTTAGATATCTGAATAAAATGGTGATTTTTATACAGAAGTGGTGGAGAGGCTATCGAAGCAGAAGATACTTCAGAAAAATGGTGCAGGTAGAAAACTAGTTTTAAAAATTTTATTTGGTTATTTATAGAATACATACAAAGTAATTCATTCACTCATCTTGAAATTAAAAAGCTGAAACTCGCTCCTGTACTCACACAGACACGTACTTAACTTTACTATGATGAAAAGCACCATTAATTTCAGTAAGCCTACTCACAATGGTCAAGTTAAGTCAGTGCTTAAGTGTTTGAAGCTCTGGAGTATTAGTTCCCAAACCAGCAATGAGATCTACTCATGCAGAAGCCTGCCTGCATGATGCTAATTGCAGAATTGGAGCTTTTCAAGATGCTTTTTTTCCTGGCAGAACTTTTAATTCTGAAAATAAAATAAGCCGATGTGTCCACACATTGCTGTTCTATGTTTTAGTGGTTTAAATTTCTTACTTAATGAACCTTGAAATATTTGAGGTTTTGCCTTAAGGCACATAGCAGATCACAGTCAATCTAATTCCCTTGATAGACTTGAAGATAGCAAAAGTGTACGACAGCACACAAGCTAAAACTTCTGCTATCAGGTCTAGGAGATTAAGAAGAAACTAATTTGCCTTTAACATAAAACAATTAAGTTTTTAATACATAGCTTACTTCACTAATTTATCAATTTATGTTAATATTTTACAATAGGTTTAAACTCATTAGTAATTTATTCTTGATTAATTTTGTTAAACTCCTGTGTTTCAGTCAAAACAGACAAGTCAAGAAAAGGCAAAAAAAAAAAAAAAGAGCCAAAACAGTAGCAGGATCTGTATGCTTGAAAGCTTGTCTATTTTTCTTCCAAGTCTATTAGTAATCTAATTAAAGATTTTATCTTGTCCAATTTACCTGGCTTAACTAATAAATTATAAGTCATCCTTTCAGGCTGTGGTTTCCAGTCCATTTTCTAAAACAGTAATTTTTGAATACAGAGCAGATGGCTGCGTGGTTGGATTAAGTTCTGCTTTAAAAAAGTGTGACTTCAGTTGAATATTGTTCCTGAGTTTAGTGAAGGCTTATTAATCTAGGAAAGCATCTGTAGAAGAAGAGAGACATGATAATGTTAATGTATGTTAAAATTTGTTAATGAAAAGAAAGGATCATGTGATACACTGACACGTACTGCCAAAAGATGTTGTGGAGCTCCCTCTACTACAGGTTTTTAAGAGCAGGTTAGACAAATGCTTATCGTGGATGGATATGCTTCAGGCAATGTTTTAGGTGAAGTCATCTCATGACATTTCTACATTTTTTCACGGTTACAACATTATAGAGTGGTGAATTTCACTTCAGCAACATAGGCAATTTGTGTTTTTCTGTGTTTTTCAAGATAAGAATAAGAACCACGTCAGTTTTTGGCAACTAATCATTAGATCTTCAAGAGGCCTTAAGCAGGACAAAGATCTGATGATGGCCGTTTTATGTATTTTTCAATTCCCCTAAATCGTAAGGTGCTATCTTTGGCCACCCCATGTTCAAATGCTAATTTCTTTGTTGATAGTAATCAGGTTCCTATTTTAAACAGCATGATGTCACTTCAGAGGCTTATTTATATATATATAAAGGTTGTAAAAACAGGGGTGCCCAGATAAGATACAAAATTAACACATCACTACTGTGCCTACTGTCCATTGCACTGTTCTGAGTGGCGCCCTATAGGTGAAATGGCAAGATAATTCTTCCCAGAGAGCCAACCTGCAATGGCATTCAGAATTGGTGCCCAGTGACAGGATGAGAGGCAGTGGGCACAAACTGAAATACAGTAAATTCTACTCAAAGATAAGAAAGCATTTTTTTTACTATGAGGGTGGTCAAACACTGGAATGGGTTGCCCAAAGACTGCAAGCTGTGCTTGTGGAGTCTTCATCCTTGGAGACACTCAAAACCCAACTGAATCAGCCCCTGCACAACTTGCTCTAATTGATTGTGCTTTGAGCAATGTTAGAGCTCCAGAGGTCCCTGCCAACCTCAATTGTCTATGCATCTGTGAAATTGGAGGTCTTTTACCTCATTGCTTTATTACTTCTTTCTTCTTTTGCCTTGTCTTCTTAAAAAACACTGACAGCTACATTTTAAGATAAAGCCTTTTAAATTAGCACAGATTTCCTGTAATAACCAAGCTGAGATAGCTAGTGTCATAAAACCCCCTCAGCTTTCCAGTCTTGAAATATATTTCTGAAAATATAAGTAAAAAAGACTTTAACGAATAAAGCTGGGTTCATATGTAGTTCTTCAAACAGATGTAACTTACAAGCCCTTGCCAAATCTGAAATCTGTGGAATAATGTAGGATAAAAAAATTGTGCAAGCCCACACTTAGTACACACATTCTAAATCAGACCGTGAATTCATCCAGTTTCTGGATTCCAGTACTTAGTCAATATTAGTCAGGGCTCTAGAAACAGTATCTCATCAGCAAGCTTACGAATTGTACAGCAATCAGCGTAGAAACCCACCTTTTTCCCTCAAATGCTTCATTTTGTGTTGCTGTCTCTTCGATTGGAGAGGACTAAACAGGACAGTGAGATTGGAAGCTAACCTGAAAGCCATACAAAGAGCAGATAAAATGGTACCTTCTTCTCGCTTTGGACTGCTATATTCATTGTATGTTTGGGGGAGGACTTAAATACAAAGTTCAAGTTCATTCCCTGTATTCATTGTTATACTACCTTTACTCAATCAGTGGCTGAATTTGGACTATTTTAAAAAGAAAGAAAAATCTTCTCAGCAGCTTAACATAACTTTTAAGTTAAAAGATCAGTTAATGTTTGCATTGAAATCTTGCTAATAACTGTTGTGATGACTCCTGAGTATGAAACACGATGATACATTTGATATGATAGATCCTTAAATCCAAAAAAAATTGGTCACTTTAAAATTTGTCTGCCAATAATGATTGTATTGGTATCTGCTGCCAGCAAACAAGGCAAAGCATATGCACAAAATGCCCATGATTACTTGATAATAAATCATTGTAATGATTATATTCAAAATCGTGAAATGTGAGTGGTACTGATGCGGAAAATAACAAAGGCCGAGGCTCATCAGATTGGCTGTCCATATGTGCATCACTGCTAGTGTTTCATCTGTTACTGTTCTAGTGCCTCTTCCTTTTATTGTTAAAATACATTGTAAAAAAAAAAAAAAACAACTATTGATGGTGTTTATATAACTAAAGCATGTCTTTCTACATTCTAAATATAGGTGCTTTGGTATAAAGCTTTTTTCCTAATATTAACCTCAAGCTAAAATTAAGAACTGCGCTCCAATGGTTTTCTTAATAACTAGGTTGCATTAGATGTACTGGATTCTGAAAGTCTTACATGGCCTGCAGGAAAGTATGAATTTTAAAACCACCAGAAAATGAATCAAACAGTATGTCACTGTTTGTTTTTACAATATTTCTCAAAGTCAAGTGATCGCTTGTTAAGCAAAGGGAATTGTCACATTTCATTGTTACATGAAGTCGGCATGCATGATGGCCATACTTTCAGCTAACTTTGGAAGGAGATACAGTTAAAAAAAGTGAATGTTTTAGGTAATGTAGTTTGACACCACCCTGTATAGTTTAGCTTCGACTCAGTAAACAGTTTTAAATAGTCGCAGTCCAATAGGAATACCTATTTGCTGTACAAAAAAACAAAAAGCAAGTGCCTGTTCCCAACTTAGACCGTGTGTTCGTTCCTTCTCTCAGTCTACTATCAGTCAAATTTCTGGTTCTCCTTTGGATTTGTCACTTTGTATTAACCCTTTAAAGAAAAAGAAAACATAACCAGGATCAGATCACATTTGTAGGTGATCCCCAAACAGGTTTTTAAACAGGAAAGGAGAAAGTAGTACAACAGTTTATGCACAAAAGCCTTCAAATATATTTTGGAATCAGAAACTTTATGTAAACTGCTAAGGAGACCTGTGTATTAGCATCAGGGTCAGATACAAAGAATTCTTGGTTCAGAAGTGGAGGTGGTGCATGTGGGTGAGATAGCAAGGTTAATTCTTCCCGGAGAGTCAACATTGCAGTGTCACTTTAGAATTGACACCCAGTGAAAGAATGAGAGGCAGTGCAATGGGAACAAGCTGAAATGTAGGGAATTCTGCTTAAGCATAAGAAAGGCCCCAGTCTAGGAAAGAATCTTCTGTTTACTAGGAAAGCACATAAATATAGACTGGGGTTGAAGTGCTAAATTATGGCTATGCTTTTGTGAATAGGGATGAGCACATTCTCCATCACTTGTAATAGCAGAACTAGTACATATTATTCTCATCAGGATTCGAAAACAGAAGGCGAATCCTTTTGCAAAAGCACCTGTATGGTGACACAGGCTTTGACTTTTGGCACAAGGATAAAGTTGTAAGACAGTTATATCAGCAATTTTGCATTTGGCTGACTTGTGATTTAGAACAACGTTGAGAAAAAGGAGGAATGTGTAATTTCCTTTTTATCGTGAGTGACATTGTTAAGTAGCGGTAGGGCAAGGCCTGGATTTCTCACACCTAAGCAAGGTATGCAAGTTAGGACCCCGGCGGCCATTGACTATCTGTAAATAATAGACAGAGATGCAATTGCAGAGCTCTTTGATACTTTGCTAAGCTCAGAGGGAAAGTGGTCCCGCTGTCTTTCAGTACTGATGACATAAAAATCATAATGATGTTAGGTCTCCAATTTAGGTTCAGTGAAATGGAGTGGATTTGGACCTAAGTGCTCACAGCCTTCAAGTATGAGATGAACAAAAAAGTGTGAGATTGTTTCATTTAATCATTGATGGACAGAAATCTGATGATAATTTTTAAGCTTAGGAATTTCCATTAAAAATTTACTTTATCTATTTGGTGGTGTGGCAACTCTTACATTCCTTTCCAAGGAAAGAAAAGATGAGCTGCAAAGCAAAATTGTATCAGTTTAATTGAACAGTTCAGGAATATACTTAGACCTGGCAAGCATTATTTCATTCCAATATTAGCTATCTACAGTTAGTATCATTCAGAAAACATTTATGGAGACAAAAGTGGAGATAGAGTCCACTATTAATTCTAATTCAGACCTTTGGGGTGGAGATTCCCTCAAATATATGTATGTATATGTGTGTGTGTGTATACATCTACACATATGTATTTGAAACTTTTTTAAAATTTAGCAGTCCTGCATTTTTCTTTCATACAAGAAATATCTTCTCTACTGTTTCCATTATTAGTAGATTGGTATGATATTAAAGCGAGCATTTAAAATGCACCTTAATTAAACTGCAGGAATTATGCCTTGCTTAATGTAATGAAGAAAGAGAATTTAAAATGAAGTAGCATCATTGTGTTCATTTGTAAATAACATATTGCAGCCAACTGTTTCTTAATTGCCCAGACTGTTGATAAATAATCCAGTCCTGCTGCTCTCCACAGACAATTTGCTTTGGATCAGACTAGGCAATTCAAATAACACTAATTACAGTGAAACCCTTTTATAGTGAATTCCTGTTTGCCATGGGGGAGAAAATCACTATATCAGGGGAAAGCACTTTTGCCTTTGATTTGTGTCTAAAACATGAGAAACACATAAAAGCTGCATGTTGTGCTAAATAAAGGACATACTCTTGCATTCAAAGTACTTATATTTTACTTTTTATGATACAATTGTGAATTATGTTCATTTTGCATATGTAATTAGAGGGCGGAACAGATGTGAAAGCTTAGTTTAAAGTGATGTATCCATTAAAATAACCTATGCTGCCAAGTGATTGCTTAGTATAATAGGGGATTCATTCACTATGAGAGGAATTCTACTTTATTGGAAGGAAACCAGGACTTCAGGAAATGTTTTCTATATCAGGGGATTCACTGTAACATGGTATCATTGTATTTATGATTTTATGATGTTAAAATGAATATTAAATGAAACAAAATTCCCAAGGATTACTCGGGAGGCAGCTAAGTACATAACATTTAGTACAGATGGTTGGAAGGCACAATTTTGCTCCATCACTGCATCCATATCCTTGAACGATTTCGACTGAAGACAGCATTTCTTTGAATTTTTCATTAAACCAGACGTCTTGAAATATGAATTCCTTTTATGTTTCTGTGAGTTTTGGCTAAAAGAACCCCAGTGAATAAATCATACAATACTACGTGTCACCAGCACTTGTGAATATTTCTGCTTTGTTATTCTACTCTCAGTAGAGCACCATTGATTATCAAACTCAGCGGAGAGCATTTTATGATCATATATCTCCATTAGCTCCTAGTTTGACTACCATAGATTTTTCTGGTTAAGCCTGCATTATGTATTAGGAAGCCTATCTCTTCAATACAAAGTTTGATTTTATTCTTTCTAAGCCTAGAACTCTTATTATGTATTATGTATAAAGATTCTTATCTTTTATATGTAAAAATAGGAACACTGTCTTTGTGTAACTGAAATATATGCCATCTTTTTTTTTCCTTGATTCACAGACAGCATATTTTATTATGAAGATGAATTTCTACAATGAAATGGCTGTCAGGGTAAATATTTCTTCACTTGTTAAACAAATGAAAAGTCAATTGTGCTCCGAATTTGCTTTTAATAAAATGAGCAAACCAGAATAATATACACTTGATTGATATGCTGATGGCAACAGCGGGAAATAGTACATAGTTAAAAATTAAAGTTACACTTAACAGTCTGGGTTGTATTTGAAAACTGTAGCTGAATCTAAGGCGTCTGAATGTGTCTTGCCCCATTTAAATGTTCATTGTACCCTACCATATACAATACCAATAAATACCCCAAACATTCTATCTGCGATTATTCTTACAAATGTAGATGTGTATTTACCATTCTGAAAAACTATAGGGCTTTTATGTTTATTGATGCGTCTGCACTTTTTCTTTTGTTAGTACATGACGTTATAAGTATTGAATCTCAAAAGAGTTACTCAGAGAGCACAGGACAATTTCATCGCCTAAAAACAGAGGTGGAACTGCATTGATCTCATTGATGATATTATGAGTGAATTTTGCTAAATTATGAAGAGTATAAATCATTCTTGAATTTTAATAAAAATGCAGCAAATTAAGTTTGTTATGGGGAAAACTGCAAAATATATTTGAACAGAAATTAGCATTTTTTTTCCGAACTTTTGAACTGCACTTGAACAAATATGTAAAACAAACGCAGGAAGGACATGAGATAAATCCTGGGATGAGGGACTTCTGGAGAGGGATATTTTGCAAGGGCATATACTGACAGGATGAGGAGTGACCGTTTCAAACTAAAAGAGGATAGATTTTGATGAGATGTAAGGAAGAAGTTCTTCACTGTGGGGTTGATGAGGCACTGGCACATGTTGCCCAGAGAAGCTGTGGCTGCCCCCTCCCTGGCAGTGTTCAAGGCCAGGCCGGATGGGGCTTGGAGCAATCTGGTCTGGTGGAAGGTGTCCCTGTCCATGGCAGGGGTTTGGAAATAGCGGATCTTTAAGGTCCCTTCCAACCCAAACCATTCTGTGATTCTATAAAATCTTTTTATTTTACTCAATTCTTTTTGTTCTGCTTTACGCTAGAGGCCTGTATGTTTTTAGTCAAGACATCATATCTTTTGAATTCTACCAAATGCAGGAATGTAATGGGGTTGGAGAGTAACCCAAGGAAACTCCTGTAAAGTAGGAAGGCTCTTAGAATGGATTCTAATTTTGTGGCCTTTCTGGTTCCAGAATAACTCAGACTCAAGAGATGTGTTCCCATCAGGTTTTTGACTTAGTGCTGGTTCTTTCAAAGGCGGAAAATAAAATCTTGCATTTGGTACATATTAGAGAGCTGAACGTGTTTAACAGCAATCTAATTCTTCAGAAATGTGCTTTTTTTGCTTGTTTGTTTTAGTTTATACCTTAGTTAGCTAGTTTGAAACTATTCCACAGTGGATAAATGCTGTAGACTTGTGCAGCTGAAATCAGTGAGAAAACATGAGATGCAAGCCAGCTCTTAAAAGTTGGCTGTGTACTTTTAGAAGGCATTTGAAGACCAAATTTCATAGGTAATTATGTATTCTAGTCAAATGGAGTTTTGCATTTGGTCTTTCATTTTTAAAAGAAATTGAATGTGTTCCTATTCATTTGTAATGGAAATATAATGTTGAATCATTAGGTGATATAAATCTTCAAAGTACCATTTTTTCAGTCATGTCCTTTTCTTTAATGGAAATTTAAATCAGTAGAAAACAATAGAACAGATCTGTATTTAGTAGCAAATGTCAGAATCCAATTCTCCTCTATCTGAATCTTGTGCAGCCATATCTGCAGAGCAGATTTAAAATGCTACTATTCTAAAACACTGAATTTTTTTTTCCTGTCATCTGTTTTTTGAAGAACTAACCAAAGTCCAGGACAATAGAGAGTAAAGCTTATTGAGTTTCTGCACAGATGTGTGGCCAGACTTTAGGTTTCCTAAGTGAACAGGGCCTCATTCACACATTGTGAGCTTGGTTCATGATTAATATACTTGAGTGTTCTGAAAATATAATAATAACTGTGTATGTTTTTCTATTTAACCACTTAGTTTTGCCTCATAGTATTATTAAAATATTTATTTCACTTTATAGTCACTTATTAGAAAGGCACTTTCAATTTTGGCAGTTGAAGTATCATTGAGGGTGAATACATGCTCATAGTTTTGAAGTTTATCTACATCTCTGTCTCTCTGGATTGCGTTTAGTCATAACCAGAACTATCAGTTTTGACTTTTTAAATTAAATCAGAGAACTTGTTTTAATCAATTTAAGTTTTGACTACTAGGTCAGAATATGATTCTCTCCCTTAAAAGATTAAAGGTTGCTTTAAATTTTCAGCAACAAAAGTAATCCTATGGAAAAAAAATATATTTCCATGAGCAGATGGCCTTTGATATATCAAGGTTTTGCCATTTGTTTTAGTGCTTAAAATAAACATTATTTATAAGACCACTTACATTTTGATGTTACTTAATGAGGAATATGCATCATTGATTTGACTAGCTTAAGAGGTCATTTAGAACTTGCCCGTTAACAAGCTGTAATCTGCTGAGCACACAATGACTTTGTTTAAAATTATCTGTTCAGTGCTGATCAATGACAATAATTGTTTTGTACCAATCACTGTTGAAACTTGCTAATTACTTTGAAGGGCATACACACTTGTCTCTTCTATTCAAGAATTTTTTAAACATTCACCTTGGAATTCAAAAGAAATGTAATTGTTATACATTATACTTCTAAAAGCAAACATTTAGAACTCTCACATTGGAAATATGAACATCATCAGAATCTTTTTGTAAAATATTCTTTTGCAAAGTGATTAGTCCTCAGTTTTCTGATCTCTGACATATAGTATTACAGAAACAGAAATCTAGCATGAAATAATTTGAGACATATTGCAGTTTTTCTTGCTTATGTTTCATTCAGTTGAAATCGGTGAGGTCATTCTGAACAGAAAGTGGTGTAAATAAAGGTAGAATGTGGCATTTAATTGGTACACTGAGCCCATTAGAGATAATTATAGCTTTGTACTATTTGAGTCTTTTGTCTTTCAGTTTGAGTTTTGATCCTTTAACCCAGAAATATCCAGTTCTGCATTTGTAACTGTGAGGTGAAAACTGTCAGAAAGAGTTTCAAAGGGACCATAATCCTGCATTAATGAGCACACAGCTATATGGGAGCCAAGTTGCTCTTGTTGAGAAATTTTGAAGCCAAACAGAAAAACAAAGCTAAGATCCTTGTTCACATGCAAAGGATTTTGCTTAATCCCAGATCTCTGAAGGCATACTCATTCTTTGCTCTTTCTCTATCCCTTTTTAACCCAATAAGCTTGTGTATGAGAACATGGAGTTGCAAAGAGTATGAAATCTACTATCACCTAGTGCAAAGAAGTATGTCTAGTGCTTAACCTTTCTTGTTCCCATGTTCAGCTGCTCACATAACTATTATTTATTCATATTATAACAATGTCTAGAGGTCCAAACTCTTTTTATTCAAAAATCCCAAACAAACAACAACACATAAGTAAAAGAAACTACCAACTTCTTAAATTAGTTTTGAGTCTTATTTGAGAGGAGAGGAAAATACATGGCGGTGCACAAAAGGGAAGTAGAAGACTGTGCTAGCACTAAAAGTTAATATCCTCTTATTCCTAATAGCTTTAGTGCATCTTATTTTCTTTTTGAGACATCACTCAAAGACTTATTGAAAGCTTACCTGTGATACTTGTTCTCCTGTTAAATCTCACATAAAGAGATAATCACAACTGTACCACAAGGTGCCATCAGTTGAGACTGAATGCTAGGTTTTACCTTAAAAAATAGTGTTTTGGCTTATGTGGTTGCAAATAGGTACCAAAGACAAAGGATGAAAATATGCAACCCTGCCTTAGTTATTCGACTTACAGATATCTCCAGTGTGTTACTGTTTTCAGCTCAGGAAACAGCAGGAGAAGAAAAAATTAGAGTACAGGATTGGACTGCAATGCAACTGGAAGGAGTAGAGAGAATTTTGCCTATTGCTGAAGAGACCTGATGATACAGACTCTGAAGTCACTGAGTGCAAAGATTGATTGATAGTGTGGGCAATGGGCAGCTTTTCTTCCCTTGCCTTCGTAGATCAAATACAATAAAACACTAGGCTCTTTTTTTCCTTTTTTTTACATGCTCCTTTGGAATAAAAGATAGGGGGAGGAAAAAAACAACACTATGAACATGTGGATTGCACTCCACTTCCCAAGTCATCCCTTGTTTCTGGAAAGAGAAGGTTTGGTGTAAAGGAAAAAAAAAAAACCAAAAGAAAAACATTCCCTATAGATACACTGAAGAGTTTAAGTTCTTGAAAAGTCCAGCAGAGGCCTACAGGAAAAGGAGAGCTCTTGGCAAATTACAACATTCTTCTCTTTAATGCACTTAGTGAAGGGGAGTAGCTTCTCAACGTGGAGTTGCTTCTGAATCATAACACCATGATCTTCTTGCTTTTTTAATGTAGATTCTGCCTTTCATCTGTTATGTCTCTAAAGATTTCAAAGTTGTAAAGGTCAAGGAGATGGAATTTGGAGTAGGAGTGAAGGTAATGCAGACCAGAAGATAGAACTTGGGAGATTTATTTAGAAATATATTGAGGAAAAAAATAAAAAAAGACAAAATGCAAGGAAGGAAGTAAAGAATATTTGACAGGAAGGTAAATAAGTTAAAGGACAGAAGAATGTGAAGAAAGAGGAACTAGACACTGAGAAAAGAGGAAAGTATCTTTAATCTGCTGTTGATGTGTTGATCTAGAATACACTGACCTCTTATGGGAAAGAAAATGAGGAGTGAAAGCAGCCCTCAGCATGACTGAGTAGAGCAAGTTATGTCTTCCACATGTACATGTCATGGCATAGGGATAAATATGGCTAACCAAATGTCAATACTGACAATTTTTTACCTAATTAATACTTCCTTTCTCTTCCCACAAAACAGTTAATCAGCAAACCTGTAATTATTTCAGAAACATCACGATTAGATTTAAGTATCAGAAGGTTTAAATTCTTTCATTGAAATAATTCTTGTGGAAAATCAGGCTAGGCTAATTCTTTTATTTTCCTCCCTGCCTTTTTTTTTTTTTTTTTAACTGATGATTTTTAGAATGCACCAAAATATGGATCCTTTCTGGTGGAGGATGCTAACTATTTTCTATTATTAATATGACTTTAGGTCTAGCTACAGATAAAGAGGTTTCCTTTTCCAGTTTAATCTTTCTCTGTTATGCGGGAGGAATAGCATTTTGTGAGAAGTTTATAATTAATGTGCAAGAAGTAGATGTGCATCATCTTGCACTGGATATGAAAGAACTGAATTTGTAAATTATGTTTCCAGAAAGCCTGATTCATTGAGTTACTGGAAGGCTTCCATTCAGTTTACATTATATCCAGAGCCCAAAGGTGAGAGTGTAGCACAAGACGTTGGTGAGGTGGTGACTCGGTAGGGAATGCATGTTGTACCTGAGAAAAGACACCACTTCTGCTTTTTTACTATGCTTACACAGAGCAATGCCACTGGCGGTAGCATACATTTCGTTGTCACACCCCAATATAAACAATGGTTTAAAACTTGATATTATTTTTTTTTAATATTGGCATTTAATAGTAAGTTCATATCAACATTTAACTACAGTATGTTACTTCTTACCCTTATTTTCTTCATTGAAACATAGTGGTGCTTCTACTTGCTGTCACTTTTAAGGAAACGGTATTATTTGGGAAATACAAGAGATAGTTGATATACGTACAAACTTTTGTTTTGAAATATACTAAGCAAATATTTGTTTCCTCTAGATTCAGAAAAGATGGCGAGGCTATTATGTTCGGAAATATATCCATAATTATTATGCACTGAAGAAATACCTGGAAGCCATTTCTGTGAATAATGAGATTGTCAGGTAAAAATTAAAACTCCATGTGGTAAAGAATTCATTTCCTCTTCTTTTATTTGTAAAAAGTTTATGGCACTAATTTGACTATTTCTTCAAGTGTAGGTTCCCCTCCATCATCATATATATGTATATATGTATCAGTCATCATTCTCTTTATCCTAAGCCTGTGTATGTTGTGCCACATTCTGTTCTCATTTACAGTGTTATGAAATCAGAATAATTTCTTTGAATTAATTAGATGTACTCTGGGTTTATACTATACTATGAATATTAATTGTGAAACATACTGGTGTGGATATAGTGAAGCAGATTCTTTTCAGTTACAGAATAGATTAATTCACTTGTTAGATTTCTGGCTGGAACTGTTGTTGCTGTATGTTCCTACCCTATTTCTCCTATCCATCCCTTGTCTTTCCCTGTACTTAAGTTGAAAGATCTCTAAAACAGAGGCAATTATTTCCCTCTAGCACATTTGATATCCTGATCCATGACTATTTCTTCAGATAACAGTGGAAACAAAAAGAGAAAATAGTGGATGACCATGATCATTTCTTTCTCATTGTAAGTGAAAGGTTTTGGAAAAAATCCATCCAGTTTTTGCTGTTCAAAAAGCCCGAGACAAATCTTTGCCTTCTGAAGTGCAGAAATATAAGGGGATCTAGCAAAAAAATATTTCTGGTTGTCCCGTCTAGATCACAGGGCAAAGACAAATCAGCCAGAAGACTGTTACAGAAAACAGCATATGCAAGTTATATATATATAATATATATAAATATAAAATCAGATAAAAGAATTATCTGATCTCGTTGGACACTGCTTATTAATTTATGTAGTTTTTCCACAATTATACTACATCCTCTTTGTCCTAGCATTATAACTCATGCATTACATTGTTACATATAGTGAAGCATACTGCTAACTGCCTACCTAATCTCTCATTACTATTCATTTAAATGTGTTCTATGCAGAAAGTTAGATCATAACTCAGCAAAACCAGACTTAAAAAATCTGCCATCAACTGTACCTTCTTGTTCTGAAATCCTTGAAATACGTTCTCCTGAAAAGGTAGAATCCTAGGAAGACTAGACCAAATCTTGGAAAGTAAATGAAGCCATAACTTTTCTGGTTTAAAATGGTTATAACTGAATGAACTGCAGAGACACAACTTGCTTCTCTGTTCGTAGTAGTTCTACCACTTTTCTCCATTCCCTGCCTAAACCTGGAACAAGGCTTATAACCTGTTGGTTAGATTGACCTTTGATGTGTGTGAACGAAACAAGATACCAAGTGATATTCCTGCTTTACTGAACACAGGTTGATTGGAACTTTGTATTTTATTTCCCCACACCCACAACAGATCTCTACAGCGTACATCTAACTTTGGAGGACTACAAAAATATTTGTCTTTCAACACTTTCACATGTTCATCAAATTCCCCAGTATTTTTTCTAGGTCATTAAAAATCATAAAGTCTATGCATTAGGTAGGCATTTTAATCAAGAAATACTTTTGTGCTGTTTTTCTTTAGCAGGTAAAGTGAGCAGTATGACTTCAGGTACATCAAAATGTGTCAAAGTTGGTTCGTGTGAGCTCTTACCTGGCAACTGATATATTGATATTCTGCTAATTTGAGTTCTTTCTTCTGGAGTTTACAGAAGTATGTGTCTTTCAGGTTAAAAAAAAAAATAAATCCATATTTCAGATTTTAAAAAGTGAAAAATGAATTTTTGAAGAAATTTGGTCAAATGGATGGTATCATTTCAGTTTTAAAAATGCATAAGTTCTCAAGTGCAATCAAGAATCCCTGCAGTAATGTCTTTACTGGGTTACATTTGAAAACTAATATGTATATTATCTTCAACACTCTTATGAAATCTAACAGATGTTTAGTGAAGATCAGGTGTAGGCCCTCAGCCAAACAGATTTTTCCTGTCATTAGCCTAAGTTGCTGCCAACTACTTTTGCCCCAAGCTGCCCCACTGTGTTTCTTATGAGGAATACTGAACAAGGTGGAGAAGAGATCCTCTGCATATTTTCATCAGCCATCACATCAAATGTGGAAGAGGACAGCCTCATTGTTCATAAACATTTTTGCGTATAAAAAATTGTTGCAATTATTCATTGTGAAAAACACCAGGAATTGTCTTTAAATTGAAGGAATGCTTTTATGAAATGGCTGGGGTTTATTCCAGCATCAGCATTATGGAAATTTTGTTGGTGGACAGAGCCACTAATACACTTGTGCACTCAGATTAGGCTGGCTTTGAGTGTTTCACATCTCTAGAACACCACAAAACAACACAACATGATGTATGAAGTAATGCATTTTTTCTTATTTGTCTTATAGCTCTTTTCATCAGATTGTATGCATTAGTGCAGTGTCAGTGCTAGTAAAGAACCGAGTTTCTCCACAAATAGCAATAGAACCACAGTAAAACAGACTGATTTTAAGAACTCCAGAGTAATATAACAGCACCACCCCCACCTCCCCCCTCAAAAAAACCCCAACAAACCCACAACAAAAAATAAACGAAATACACACTAGAAGTTTATAATTTCAATAGTTCATTTAAACTGTATTCTTTCTGGAATTATGTTGTAATTCTAAACTGAACAACAATCGACGGTTCTCAGTCTTCTCTTCTGGAATAATGCTGACAGAATTTTTATTTATCAACAACTGAAATCACATTGCAAGCCCTTCTGAGACATGTTTTTACCTCTTGGTGTCCAGAACCAGGGGTTGAGCTTAATTTTCTCCTCTTCATTAAGGAGAAGTCTGTATCAAATTACCACTCACTTGTTTCTAAAAGAAACTTCAGAGGAAGTTGCCATGAAACTTTGGACGTTCTGTTAGTTTCTTACAGAAGTATCTTATAAGAGTTACTGAACAAAGTTTGTTTACTTCTCTCTCCTCCTCCACCCTATTTTTTTTTAAAATACAAAACACTTCCCTTACTAAGGGGTTCTCTCAACTAGTAGACTCATCTTTACCATTCAGCTTTAATGCAAGCCGTCCTTATTTAATAGCCGCCCTCATTTAGTAGCCAGACCTTTATCATTTGTCTTTATCGTGAAAACCCCAGGAGAAAGTAAACTTAATAGAAGCTGCCCCAGTTTAAAGCCATAGAGGGCTGTAATTAAGTTTAACAGAAATTGATTTAACAGAAATTGACCTAAAATATAATTAAATAATAATAGTCATATTATGTGTGAGTTTCCACTCACTTATCAGACTGCTTATCCTAACTTAAGGCACTGTTTTTGTATGAAATGAAGATAACTGTTGGCTTTAGCTCCCAGGCTGGCTGAAGAGTCTGTGGGTTTTCCTCCAGCATTCCCATTACTTCCCACTGCTACAGAACCAATAGGTGTGCTGGCTGCTGGTGTTCCCAGTATAAGTCCCTAGCAGTTAAGTTGAGAAGTGATTTGAAGAATCCCTTGACAGATGGCAAAAGAACGAATTTGAACTCTGAACTCTGTCTACATAACGACATACTCAGATTTTTCTTGATGTTTGTATGGTTTAGCCTCAGAATAATGGTGAAATGTGTTCATTAGTCCTGAATTCTGTTTTTCCTACAAGATTTAGGAAGTTCTAAACCAACCAAGTAGGAAACCTGTTCTTAAATATTTATTTTATAAAATATTGCTATTTATAGTTTAGTAATAAGTCTATAGCATCCACTTATATTTAGGCAAATACCAATATATGCTGTATTCTGTCTGAATATGGATTAGTTGGGCAGTTGCATATATAAATGCATGCATTAAACTAAATTCCATTGCTTCTAGTATATTTAATTTTAATGGAAAATACCTGATTTTGAAACATTCTTAAAGCTACATTTAACATCTCTAAGAGCTGGCAAAATGATTACAAGGGGTAATATGCCAAAAGCAATTAGCACAGGCTATAACTCTGTATGATGCATTAGAATTTTGTTTTATGTAAGACAGTTTCCAATCCATGATAAGCAAACGGACATCACTTCACATAAATTAGCATGCTGGTGCCATTATATCAGAAGAATTTATGGATGATGTCAGTTGCCCAACTGTGTGATTAACTTGCAGTTCTTTGACTAAGGTTATCTACACAGTGGCCTTTAAACTACAGTAAAGCAACTTTGCTATATGTCAGGTGTGCAACTAGAGATAAGATTTTGGGATGTAGTGCTCCATTTACTGATGAATGGCATCATTTAAATTTTTTCCCTAGGCACAGAACTCAGTAAGATAGCAGTATCAGAAAACTAACAAAGCAATGGCAAAGCACTGGCATTGGGGTTCTTGTGTAATCAAGGCAGGTAGTTTAGCTTTTTTGGCTATTGAAAAAACACTGACTTAAAGGTAGCAAACCAAGACCTGAGTCTAGCTTTAGCAAGCACCATAGTGTACATAAACACTGTTATGATTGTAAATTGTGAATTTCACACACTTGGAGGATTGACACCAAATTCTTCTTTCCATTGTTGTTGGCTTTAGTAGTGAAAAAGCCTTGAGAGTGGCCCTGAAGAGTGTGACTTTCATCCAAGTTTGACTAGCTGTTCTATCAGCAGATTTAGTATCAGTCATCATTAAAGCTTTTTGATCCTCAAGAAACATCATGGAAATAATAAAAATCACTTCCGTGACAATATGTATATTCACAAATCCTTTGTGCAGTCTGATTTTTTATAATCTTAATGAACAGTGAAATACAGTACTGTTACATGTTGCTGGTGATCTAATCCAATGTTTAGCTTTTCTGCAAATATGCCTGAGAATGTAGTACTGAAAAAAGTAAGAGTATCTGGCTTATTCTTGATTACTAGAGCATTACTGAGGTCTATTTACTTTTAACATGGCAAGTACGTTGCTTCTTAAGACTTCTGATGTATTGCTGTTTTCCATGAAGTGGGCTTGAAGTAAATCATCTGTTGTCCTAGTAATATGAGAGAACTTGTTCAGCCTCCGTCTGTCTGTTCCTTTCTGATAAAAATAAGTCTAGGTACTGGCCATTT